CTCATGGGCCAATGGAAATGTTGTTTCTTGGTCTGGTTGATGGTGTTAAAAAGAAAATCACAGGCCCAAGATGGTGCCACTGAGGTTAAGACCCTAAGTCATTAAACCAAGATTCAACACTTAACCTAATGGGAGTTTCAAGACCCCAGGACTATAGCCTGTACCTGGTCAGCCAGGAAGTTTTTGATCAGCACGGATAAGATGATCTGTCACCTGGGCCCTCTTCACCCCCGAAAGGAAGATGAGGTAATCCACCAGCTGAAACCCTTTTGTCCCCAAATGAAGGTGACCGCTCCTGAAATAATCCTTTCTTCCTGTTTATGATATTCTTGTCTTGCCTCGAAAAACCCTTCCCATTGTAGCGCTCTTCAGAGCTGCCCTCTGCTTGCTGGATGGGGTGCTGCCTGATTCAGGAACGGATTAGGAAAGCCAATCAGACCTTTAAAATCATTCAGTTGAATTTTTTTATGTAACAATGGTCAAGTGGGTGTATATGTATGTAAAAATGTATTGCTGTCGACTGAATCGTGTCCCCCACCCCTCTCAAATTCACACGTTAGAGCCCTAACCCCCCACGTGATGGTATTTGGAGGTAGGACCTTTGGAATTATTTTTTTTTTTTAATTTTTTTTTAACCTTTTATTTTTTTATTTTTGAGACAGAGAGAGACAGAGCATGAACGGGGGAGGGGCAGAGAGAGAGGGAGACACAGAATCGGAAGCAGGCTCCAGGCTCTGAGCCATCAGCCCAGAGCCCGACGCGGGGCTTGAACTCACGGACTACGAGATCGTGACCTGAGCCGAAGTCGGATGCTCAACCGACTGAGCCACCCAGGTGCCCCTAGGACCTTTGGAATTAGGTTTAGATGAGGTCATGAGACCTCATGAGACCCCATGAAGAGGAAGAGCCCAGACCTTGCTTTCCCTCTCTGTCCACGACGTGAGGACCTATGAGAAAGTAGCTGTTTGCAAGCCAGGCAGAGAGCCCTCCCACAGTCTGACCACAGTGGCACCCTGATCTTGGACTTCAAATCTCCAGAATGAGGAGAAAATCGACGTCTGCTGTTTAAGCACCCAATCTGTGCTATTTTGTTACAGCAACTGAGCTGACTAATACATTCATCACACCGTGTGCCCAAGATTTGCACGTTTTGTTGTAATGTAAAATTTCCTTCAACGAGTCCCTTTAAAATTACCTTTACGAAGACACTAACTATAGTAGCAATTACAGAAAAGAAGGAGAAACCATTTGGGGCCCTGCATGAGGTAGATGCTCTAGTCCCTCCTCAGTTGTTTCCAGCCTTTGTACCATGGAGGGTTCTTTCCTTTCCTTTTCTGTTTTCTTCCGTCCTCTGTTAAATTTGGATCACAAAACCTGCATTTACATGCATGAATCTAGGTGACAGAATTATTTTTCCCAACTTAGAATAAAAGGGCGTCCAGCAGGAGCGGGTAGCTGCAGGCCCTGGGAATGTGTCTGTGGAAACATAGCGAGAGACAACTGGACTTATGGAACCAGGACACTCTGAATGAGGGACACGGCGTGCGAAGGTGGGGACACAGGATGTGGGCCAGAGCAGGGATCACGTTACTTTACATAAAGGTCCGAGCCTCCAAATGCTGGGGTGCCTAGTGAAATGAGGCGTGAGCAGAGGAATAGAAGAGAATGGATGGTCCTCGTGCACGGCACCCACAAATGTTATCCCAGACGTGTCACATCTAACGCATCCTGATGTGGTAGCTTCTTGACCGTCGAAGGGTAACATTTCCCAGGAGAAACTTACATTTTGGTTTTTACCTTTAAAAGCAATAGCTTGGGGCCCTGGGTGGCTCAGTCGGTTAAGTGTCCGACTTCGGCTCAGGTCATGATCTCGCGGTTCGTGGGTTCAAGCCCCGCGTCAG